AAGAGACCCGACCTCTCTTCACACGGTTCTCACGAGGTCATTTGCCACTTTTGCTGGGATACTTCAGCATTCACCCACCTTCCCTGTCGCTGTCTGCCCCTCTGATCCATCCCCAGAAGTCACACTTGAACCAGCAGCACCAGCTAGCACCTCTGGAACGATGCTGGATGGCCAAATGGAATACAGGACGGCAGCATCTTCCCTTCTGCCACAATACAGGCATGATTTGCAGTCTCTTCCTTCTGCTCAGTCTTCTTCAGAAAACATACAGAACTTTAGATCAGCAAGTCCTCTGAAAAATGACTCAGTCTGGCCGTAGGCCTAAGAGTTATAAGAAAGGAGGATGAGCAGTCATGTTTCCATAGGAAAAGATGCTACCAATTAAGTCTCTCCTGCATCTGGCTTCAGGCTTAACCTAAGATTCCATTTGCCTTTTCCAAGAGTATTTATACAGACAGACAATGCTCTTTATTAAAGTCCTCATAAATTCATAGGTGAGCACTAACTGACACTGTTGGGAAACCTTCCTGGTTCCTCAAACTTACTATTCTTGCCTGCATGTCATTTAGTTTAGGGCATCTTCTAATCAGAAAAGCAGAATCTGCACACACAAACACAGAAAAATCATTTAAATGTCAAAAATATCCAAAAATGGGTATTTCTTTGCTTGTGAAAGTTTTAGCACTCATCACTCCTGGTGATGAGACCCAGGTTGCGTTGGAAAGTCAGGCAAACAGTGGATGGAAAACCATCTGTGTTTTATTTTCCCATGCACAAACAATCAAATATATGTTAATAAAGTCAGAACACAAAAGAAAAGGACAACGTATCACCCAGCAAAAGCTGTTCTAAGCAGTGCTGTCCTGCTCTGCGCTGCCCACCAGCAGGATTCACCTAACACAGCTGTCTGGCATTGGTTGCAATGTACTGTGCATCCAGAATGAAAATATTGATTCCCCTGCATGCCCTTTATTAAACGATGTTTGGTTCGTAAAGGAAACTTTCTAAATATGGAATTAACTCCTGTGGCTGTTCTGTCCCCTCTGTGTCAGTAAGGACAGGACAAACTGGCAGACTGGGAAGCACAACAAACGCACCAAAGGGTGAGGGATGAAACAACAGGCATTGCAAACGCTCTCCTTTGCAACCAGCCATTGAAGACTACCTGTTCCTTAACCTTAAGGCTCTGTTGATGCTTTCCCTTGTCTTTTCAGAAACCTATGAAGAAAAATGTCATTTATTCTCTTTCAGAACAGAATTATCCCATGTTGTTCGTCCACACGAGACATGAAATGGAAGTTTATTTGGAATACAAACCACCTCTTCTCCTGTTCCTGTGCATATCCACTTCTCCCTTGCTCTCAGCACAAGAGCACTGTTTCACAAACTCCAAGGAAGATGAGCTGTAGTATCAACGTAATAGCAAACAGAGGACTTGAAGACCTCTAAGTGAAATAAACAAATAAAAGAGTACCAACAACCTCATCCACCAACCTTCCTGGGATGCTTCACATAAGCATCTCTGCATACGTGGGGACACCATTTCTTTTTCACAGAGACAAAATCACCCCCTCCACGAGCATCAGAATCACCCACCACAAGGAGAGATCAGAAATGCATTTTTAGAACAGGTGCTCCACGCCAGCTAACAGAGCTGTCAGTGTGTCACTCTGCAGCAATGTAATAGCAGAAGTGCAGAGCATTCCTTTGGCAGCACGTCCCAACCTGCAGCTGAAATTCACCTTCTGCCTCTGTGCCTTCCAACAAGCTCCCACGACAGCTGCAAATTGCCTCCTCCCTGACACTTTCCTCTTCTTGTCCTCTTTGCCTTTTCCCTATCCACTCTATGGACACACAACACAGTCCACCTTATTTTGGAATAAATCAAGGGCTAACCTATGTTTAAATAAGACCCATGACTTTGCATCACTGAGAAAGAGAGTTGTTAAGGCAGCAGCTAAAAAAGCATTACAGATGGACACCCTTCCCCGGGATGGAACATCAGATTTCCTCCACTCACACAACACTGTGCAGTAACTAAAGCCATGAAAGCCATGCTGGTGGACAGCAAATGGGGAAACACTCTCTGCAGGTGAAACTGTGATGAGAGTGGATGCCCCATCCCTGCAGGCATTCAAGGCCAGGCTGGATGTGGCTCTGGGCAGCCTGATCTGCTGGTTGGTGACTCTGCACACAGCAGGGGGTTGGAACCAGATGAGCATTGTGGGCCTTTCCAACCCAGGCCATTCTATGAGAGACATCAGCACAGTGCTGTGACTGACAGTGACCTTCCACACATCCCTGCCTGCCAGAAGGTTAGCTAGAGCCAGTAGGAGTTACCCCCACACAGAGCCACACAAACAGATATATTTAGTCACTGTGGTTCAAGGAAAACCATTGCTTGCACTGAAAATAAATTTAGCAATTGTTTCCAGTTTCTGCTCTTTCATTGACTAAGGCACAACCCAGCTGCTGTGCATTCCAGCAGACTTCAGCTGTCCTTCTTCCCCACTCCTTGCCCACCTCCTTCTTACAACTGCCATGAATACCTCAGCCTCGCACCATTCCTCCTGCAGGCTGCATTTCTGCACACATCAGAGCTGATGCTGCGCAGCACAACACCTGTCCAACCTACACTGACTTACCCAAAAATGCAAAATTCCACTCTTTGTGCCATTTCCTAAGAAGCACTGAATAGCAGTCATCTTGTACTTCACATCTGCATAGAACTAGATGGGACTGTTGACGCTTACGAAACAAGCTGCAATAAAGCACACGTGGGATGCTGCTGTCTGAGCAGCCTGCAGCAGGAACTGCAGCGTGAGGAAGGAAGGATTGGAACCACACTGCATTCAGGACTGCACTGACTCTTCAGGAGAGTTTCATTCTCAGACTCCAGGATAAAAACTCCATAGGGTGTTCTTACTTGGTTTGAAAACCACCACTACAGAAACTGCTTCTGTTGGCCAACTGCTGAAGTTCCAACTTGAAAGCCTTCACTTACACTCAAAAATACAGCACAGCAGTGAGGGCACAACCAAACCAAGACAGAACTGTGTCTATTAACTCACCTGATCCTCAACTGAAAAAACAGACATCGCAGAGAATTGAGTGGGTGTAAAAAAACCCCACATATTCAGGATTATTTCTGGTCTAAGACTGACCCAAGAAATGGCTGCAGCCCAAAAAACACCCTTTGCAGAAATAAGATCCCAGTAAACCACACATCAAGCATGATTCTGAGCAGTGTAAAACAGCATGCAAGGCTGCACATGAACAGTAAAGGTCCCCGAAAGATGGGAATGATCTGTCCCTGGGATTGTGCTACTTCCCTTAAGAACAGGATTCCTCCCTTGATGTTTATATTACAAACGCTGGATGAGACTTCAGAGGTGAATTTGCTTATCAAGCAAACACATATCAGAAAAAGGTGAAGACAACAGCATTCTGGTCTGCTGGGAATACCTCCAGTTGGGGCCTGAGCTGAACAGAGAGAACTGACTGCACTCCAGGCAGATGAATGCTTGGAACAGTGGTCTCAAACAGCCCTTAGCAGATGGCTATCGAAAAGGCAAGCTTACAAGGGATGTGAAAAGCCAGCAAGAAGTCACAAGATGATGATGGAAAGCATCAAGTAGAAGAAATGTTCAAGATACAGCATCCATATGTCTTTGGTTTTAATAAAGGGCATTAATGAACAGATACTCTCTGTGGAAAAGCCTGTATTTCAGACCTGACGGTGTCTCTCTGCTCTCTTATTCTCTCTGTACGACGCAGAATTGTTCAACTCCCTGAAGCGTGTAATCCATCAGGTAAATAAATACAGGAATTCACGTATTGCCATGGTAACAGGAAAACCAAGCAGAATCTGTGGCCTCCTCTGCTTTCTTGGCAGCCCTGCTTTGGAAGGAACAAGTATCTTCTGTAAGTGAAGACCAAAATTACAGATGCATCAGTTCTAGAGCAAAGAACAACCAAAGGCCGGATGCTGTCCTTCCTCCTTGGGTCAAAGGGGTTCTGTTTTCAGAAAGTATTTGGAAGTCTGGCTGGAGCCCGAAAAACAGGGACTCTAGAACTGCTAAAACTGAAACACAGCGCCTTGTTCTGCACTACCAGATGGATCCCCTTCACTCCAAAGCCGTGCTATGAATCACTGCACAGTGGCCCTTCTGTTGAGCGCAGAGCAGAACTGAGAGGCTCCTGAGGGAGCCCCGTCCTCCCCTCCCTGGTGGACAGGAGCTATTATGTATCATCATTTATTTTTGTATTTTATTAAGTGTTGACAACGTGTTTCATTTAAAAACCCAGGGAGGTACATAAGATCTCTAGGGATCTAACTCTAATAATATTGTTGTAGCCCCACAGCCTGGCTAGATGACTGCTTTCTCATTCTGTATGAATATGCAGATCGTCAAAGCAAAGCTCCAAACCATTCCAAAGCCATTCAAGAAGACACATTATCAGGCAACAGCCTCTTTTATTTACAGCACAGTGGGTCCTGCTTGTCTTTTGGTTCCCATAAGAAAAAAAACACACACAAACATAAACAAGCAGATCTCAGATCTCACAGCATTTGTTCCATGACTCCGCATCCTTTGTTCTACCACTGTATACATTTGGACAAATATTATCCCAGAATTACTGCAGTATAACAGGCTGTGTTTACACACTGACCCTGTTCACCAACCTCTTTGTGTCAGTCATAAGTTCCAACACTCAAACTGTGACCTAGAGCACTCCGTACCAAAGCAGCTGCCTTCTAGCCCTCCTTCCCTCCTTTCCCCGTCTCTTCTCCTCCAGTTTATACTTAGACTACGTTTTTTTCCCCTCTCTTAATAACACCCTCCTTAAAGAAATGCAAACACAAGCAGTTGAAAGAGCACAGTTCCCCAAATTTACACTTTCTCTTATTCAGCAAATCACCACCACGCTCCGCACCCACTACAGCACGCCTCCGCATTAAGACTTCACCCACGGCATCTTCAAATCTGTACACTGACCTGGGCACGGATCCTGCATGATGTCTTGAGTTCTTCACTGGGAGTTGAGTGTGTTGCAAGGCCGGGTCTCCTACGCTGCGCAGCGTTTGGGTTTTGTGTGGTATTTTTGGCCTTTCTGTTCTATTGTACACGGAACCGCACCGCGTTTGTGTGTGTCTACAGAGTCATCTTCCAGCGTTTGAACTCTTCACGCTGCTTCGCTGGGGTGGAGCTCTATTTACTATTCTCACAGGGTTATTTACTGCACGCGAATAAACAAAACGTGGTCACTTATTTTTCACATCCGCAATTACTGGCTATAGAACTGTCAGCATTTACTAAAGCCCCTTCTAATGGAAAGTTCACTTCTAATGGAAAGAAGTGGCCACTGGTTCAAAGCTGGCCCCAGCTCTATGGGTGCTGCTCACCCCTTCCTTACATTGTTAACCCGCTTCCAGGAGGAAAAGTGGCAGTGATGCACCAATAAGCATGGAAAAGAAAGAGCCAGAACTCCCCAAGCAAAGCGTTACACTGCAATGCTATGTAAGGGATGGTGCATCAGATTAACCTCTGATATTTCTGGAACAGCATCTGTCCCATGATGCGAGGCACACTTGTTAGACAGTGACTGAGTGCTGAGAGCTGGAAGCACGCCTGTGTGCCGCACCGCCTGGAGGTGCTCCTCCCTGGAGGCTGCTCCAGAACCGAAGCACAAGGAGCTGCCTTCTTGTACAGCACAGCACAAACCAGGATCGAGTGACCAAAGCCATGGAGGGCTGCTCCGGGCCCTGCTCCTCTGAAGCAGGGATCTTCCTAAAGCACTGCCTTGGGAAGCCCCAGTGCTGCACTTCACACGTCTGACTCACACTGCTGCAAGGCCCTGCTAGGAAAGCATCGAGCTGCTCCTTACAATAAGAGACCACCAAAAAGCATTGTTTTTTCCTCTACTAATTAAATGCGACGTAATTAAACCAAATAACTTCAGCGCCTGATTTGCAAAGCGGTAATTGAGGCTTTCACTGTACTGCAATGGGAGGAATGGGGGCACCTCCAGTGACAGCTGAGAAGCACTGCACGGTGTGTGCTGGGTGCTTCCCCGGCTCATGGAGAGCCCCCAAAAGGGGCAGCTGCAGCCGAGCCCTTCCCTGTGCTGTCTGCCCACAGATCAGTCTGTTCCGATCGTGCACAAACACCGGGGAAGTTGGAGAAGTTGCCATTAATCACTGCGTGCAGGGCCCGAAGCGCTGCAGCTCTGCTGTGATGCTCTGCTAGACTGAAAGGACGGTGCGAAAAGGGGGGGAGGGGGGCGAGGGGAGAAGGAAACAAAACAACGGCAAATAAACGGAGAAAGGAAAGGAAGAAAAACGAAATAAAAAGGAGAAACGGACCAGAGGACACAAAGCCTGAGGAGATAAAAGAAAAAGAAAAAAGGAGAAAAAAAGAAATCCAACAGGAAAATCCACCAGGAAACCAGCGAGGGAGCGCGGCACTGCTGCGGGGCTCGGCTCGGCTCGGCAGCCCTCCCCGCCGCCCGGCCTGACAGCAGCCCCAACCGGCCCAGAAGCCGCCCGGCCCGCCGCCATCCCCCGCCCCAGGGCCGCGCCGGGCCCGCGCCAAGCAGCAGCGGCAGCGGCTGCAGCTCCGGGCCGCAACGCGGAGGGCGGGGAGGAGAAGCGCCGCCGCCCCGCCGGGCCTCCCGCCGCTCACCTGCTTTCTCGATCTTGCCGGACATGTCGGAGCCGGGGCTCGGCGCTCAGGCCCGGCCGCGCCAGGAGCCAGCGAGCGGCCGCGGCCCCGCCACTGCCGCCTCCTCCCGCTGCCGCCGGCCGGCCGCGATCCGGGAAAGGCGCCGCGGCGGCCCCTGGGGCTCGGCGGCAGGCAGGCAAGCAGCGCTCCCGCCCCCCGCCCAGCTCCGCCGGGCCGCGAGGGGAAGAGGCGGCCCGGGGGCTCCCGCCACACACGCACACGCGCGCCGGGCCGGGCCGCAGCGCCGCCTGCCGGCCGCCTCGGGAAGCGCAGCCAGGCGCCGCGGGCGGGGCCGGCCCTGAGGGAGGCGGCGCGCTGCGAGCATGGCCGGTCCGCTCCGCTCCGCTCCGTCGGCCGCTCATCGCGCGCGTTTTCCCAGCTCGCGGAATCGCGAAGGAAGGAGAAGCCCTCTCACCCCACAGCCCCACCCCGCCGCCGCATCCCCGCTGCTCTGGAACGCGTCGCTCCTGAAGGCAGCGCCCTGCGGCCGCCCTGCGCCTTGCTGTCATTTGCTCCCGGTGCGCTGTGCCGGCTGTCGGTGCCGGACAGAAGCTGGTTCCCTCTAGCGGGAAGAGGCAGCAGTTGGAGCGGCCGTTTACGGCTGTGGAAGGGCCGTGGATGTGCTGGGAAATGAGCTCCTTTCCGTCGCTGTATTGACAGCATGAACGCAGTGGCGCCCTGACTTCTCTCATTTACGTGGCTGTAAGCTGTGCTGTCACCCCGTTTGTGGCGGTGACAGCAGGCGGGAGCTGCGGTACATCGTGCTGCTGTGAGCAGGGTGCGTGCAGGAAGAAACCGCTGCAGGGCTGTCAGAGTTGGGCAAGGGAAGAAAGAGAGCACAGAGCCGAGCGGCTGCGTCAGGTCGTGCTGGCGCTGCAGGGCTGCTCTGCACCCAGATGAGAGCCCTGATGTCCTCCCAGCAGCAGGAGAGGGGCGGCAAACTGAGCTCTTCCCACGATGTTTCTTTACTGGGGGAAAACAGTCGGCAGCAAACGTGCCAGCAGCAGCCGGGCAGCACAGAGACGTGCTGCAGCCCCAGGGTCACAAACTGCAGCTGACCCACCGAGATGGGATGTGCAAGAAGCGCCGACGCGATTTCCGAGCCTTGCAATCACGGCAGAGCGCTCCTGCCCTCTAGCGCCCTTCCCTTCCCCTCTCCCGGGCTGTTCCCTCCCATCCCCATCCCTCGTTCTGCTCCCCTCTACTTGCAAGGCCGGGCGGTGCCTGTCTGTCCCTCCAGCAGTGCCGAGGTTCGGTAATTCAGTGTCCCATTCAATAAGTGCTGCTGTCACCGTTTCACCCCCCAGAGCCGCGGGGATGTGGCACTGAGGGATGTGGCACTGAGGGATGCGGCAGTGGGCACAGTGGGGTTGGGCATTGGATCCGAGAGGCTTTTTTCCAACCTCCATGGCTCTGATTCTAAGCACAACGAAGCCCAAGTGACAGACATTGCGGTGACCTGATACTGCCACTGCCAACACAACCCCTCCCTTTGAACTGGGGAGAGATGAAAACATGTTGGTGGAAGAAAATGAGGGACAGGATTCCCACCACCTGTTAATGGATTCAACTCCTCTCTGTGTGTGCAATGGCAGGATAGATAGCGGTGAGATGGAGAGGAACTGCTCAGGAAAGGAATGCAGGTGGGGCTAATAAGGGACGCAGAGGAATGGTGCAGGAGGGGCCAGAGCTGGGAAATGAAGCAGGCGAGGTCAGAGCATCTGCATCTGTCCCCTGCAAAAACACGTGTGTGAGATGGACTGCAAGTCCTCCATTTAGAGCACATCCCCAATTTCAACCTCGGCATCCTGCAGTTTTACTCAGTGTGCTGACAGCATCTAGCTGGTGGTCCTGGCTGTAGGACAATCCAGCACAGAGACATGAGCAAGACACGAGCACCTGGCTGACGGAGATGGCATTTTCCCATTCAGCGATGCCTGTCCTGCTGCACCCGCAGCCGTGCGGCCCTGGGACTGCTTTGCAGCCCTGCCAGATGTCCCATCGCTGACCCGTCATTGCCGGGACTTGATTTTCCCACCGGCTTTCTCCTTCTCCGTTCGGGTGCGGGCTCTAGAGGGCAGCAGATGCCGGGTGATGGGCACAGCGACCTCCGAGCCCTGGCTGGGAGCCCACTAACGGGGATGGGGGCGGCCGGGTCCGGTTCTGTGTGCCGGGGCACAAACCCAGCCCTGCTCCCTGCCCTGCTGCCTCACTGCCTTTGCTTTTTCCTCCCCTCCCCCCGCGACAAACCTCCCGAAGGAGTGAGACACCAAAACCAGAAGGGATGCTGAACACTTGGTGCTCAGGATAAGGAAGAACTTCTGGCAGCTCCACCGAGCTGGTCTTCACCTACAAGTTGAGGCTGTGGGCTGTCAGTGGGGATGAGGAAGGTGCAGGGAACTCTCCTTGCTCTCAGCCTGTCCTGGGCATTCACTGCCACTTACAGATCCTGAGTGCATCTTCTTCCTGCTGTTCCAGCTGCTGCTGCTCTGCATCAGTGAGACCACTGACAGGCAGTGCAGCTGGATTCGAGGAAAAAACTGGAAATGGAGAAAGGAAAAGAATAAAGTTGGGAGAATTTTGCAGAATTTTCTCCCATTATCCACCACTGCTGTTCCCAAGGAGCTGGGTGCCACCGGCCCTGTGTTGCAGCAGCCCATGAGGACCTGGCAGCAAAACTAGAAGAAGATCCACCCATCTCACAGCCACGTCACTGCTCCATGCAAAGTGCTCCCCAAAACTCAGCTGGGTTTCCAGGTGACCCTGCCTGCTTCACCCTATGGAGGAAGCTGAAGGTGCCCTGTGCCCCTCCTCCTCCCCCCGCTGGAAAGAGCAAAACCAGAATGAATCAAAAAAGGAAATCAAAATCAATATTCCAAAGTCAAATAGTAAAAATCCCATTATGGACACAGAGGTCACCAGGAGAAAAACGCAATCGGAGGTGACAGCCCTGCTCCCGCATCCCAGGTGGGCAGACCTCACTCCCAAGGCACAGTGCCACCTGCCCACCTTCCAGCAGCAGTTTTGCACAGACAGTGGGCGCAGAGACCTGGGAGGATGGAGAGAGGGACCCTGTGATGTCTGTGAGGTGAGGAGCAGGCTGTCCCATCCGCAGAGCAGGGCTGCCCGACCCCACGCTGTCTCCATCATGCCACAGATCGCAGCCTGAAGTCATTGCCAATGTGTGGCACGTAGCCCTGGTAATGATGCAAACTTCAAACCATTATTTCTCAGCACCAAGGGGTTGTTTAGTGCCGTTTTCCCTCCTTCTTTTCTTTTTCTTGTTTCTTTTATTCTCAGACTTGACCTCTGATTCTGGCTGGGATTTTATGTTGGCTTCTTTTTATTATTGTTTTTTCTCTATCTTTTATTTTTCTTCTTTTTTTTTGCACCATATTAGCAGCAGAGAGAAACATCCCAGGAAGTCTGTTTGCCAACAAAGCTTTCTTTAGCAGACAGACAATGGAAAAGCAGAAGAGAATGCTCTGGGCTGGATGTGGCATTTCCAGCACTGCAGTGGCTGCTCTCTGCCCCCTGCAGCTGTCCAGGGGTGACCTTCAGCTCTGTGAATAGCTGATGTCCTCACCCAAGGTGTGCCTGCATGCCCTGCTGCTGGAGCATCT